GACCAATCTTGGAGGAACGCTTTGCACTTCGAGGGTGCGAAGCAAAGCCCGAAGTGACGGATAGCTAGTGCTAATCTGTCCAGTGCCGCTTGACACGTTTGTGAGCTGTCACAGATTAGGGCAATATCATCAGCATACTCTAAGTCAAGAAGTCGTTCTCCTGGGAGCAGATCCACACCTTCAAAGTCGTGTCCTGTGAACGCGATTTCCATGACTTCGTCAACAGAGAAGTTGAAGAGGAAAGGTGACAGCGGGCATCCTTGTCTCACGCCGCTGGAGATATTAAAGGGCGACGACAGCTTGCCGTAAGCTCTCACTCTGCCCGAGCTACGTGCATATAATGCTCGGATAATATTCACATATTTCTCAGGTACACCTTTTCTGAGTAGACAGTCCCAAAATGCGTCTACCCACCGAATCGAATGCACCTTTGATATCGAGGAACACGACAACGGTGGGCCGCCAATATATGTGACCGTGCTCCAACAACTGACGCAAGGTGAAGATGTGGTCAATGCAGCCACGACCTCGACGAAATCCAACTTGCTCTTCACGAATCTGGCTTTCACGAGTGCCAGTCAGTCTGTGAAGGATTATAGAGACAAGCAATTTAGAGGCGATGGAGAACAGACTGATTCCTCTATGCCTGCCGCATTCCGATCGTGAGCCTTCCCTGAAAATTGGGACTATGACGGTGCGGCTCCAATCGGTCGGGACAGTTTTCTGCTGCCACAGTTTGACTAGTAACTCGTGTAAATCATCCACAAGAGCAGGTCCCCCGGATTTGAAGAGGGCTGGAGGAAGATCATCAGGTCCCGCGGCTTTATTTAACTTCAACAGTTCGATCTCACGTTCGACTTCTGAGCGAGAGGGTGGATGCAAAGGGACAGCCCAGGGAGCAAGGCGATCAGTGGCCGGCGGGAAATCTAACCATTCCGACCGATTAAATTGCCTTTTAAAGTGCTCAGCCCAACGCTCTAAGCGTTTTGATAAGTTGTGGATAGGCTGTCCACTTTCGCCACGTATAGTTTCACTAACACCAGGTCTCCTGTTGCTCGTTTCCCGTATCAGACGGAATAATGTCAGATCACCAACATGAACACTGGGTCTCTTCACAGTCTCTGGAACTTATACATGCTCGCCGACATATTCCGGTTGGAAGCGAACACGATGAAACTCATAAAGAGCTCCGGGCAAAACTCCGTGCTAGCCTGAAGAGAGACCGTGAATCCTGGTGGTCTCATCGTGCATCAGAGATGGAAATGGTCGCTGCCCTTGGTAACCATCGTAAGTTATTCCGTCTGATACGGGAAACGAGCAACAGGAGACCTGGTGTTAGTGAAACTATACGTGGCGAAAGTGGACAGCCTATCCACAACTTATCAAAACGCTTAGAGCGTTGGGCTGAGCACTTTAAAAGGCAATTTAATCGGTCGGAATGGTTAGATTTCCCGCCGGCCACTGATCGCCTTGCTCCCTGGGCTGTCCCTTTGCATCCACCCTCTCGCTCAGAAGTCGAACGTGAGATCGAACTGTTGAAGTTAAATAAAGCCGCGGGACCTGATGATCTTCCTCCAGCCCTCTTCAAATCCGGGGGACCTGCTCTTGTGGATGATTTACACGAGTTACTAGTCAAACTGTGGCAGCAGGAAACTGTCCCGACCGATTGGAGCCGCACCGTCATAGTCCCAATTTTCAGGGAAGGCTCACGATCGGAATGCGGCAGGCATAGAGGAATCAGTCTGTTCTCCATCGCCTCTAAATTGCTTGTCTCTATAATCCTTCACAGACTGACTGGCACTCGTGAAAGCCAGATTCGTGAAGAGCAAGTTGGATTTCGTCGAGGTCGTGGCTGCATTGACCACATCTTCACCTTGCGTCAGTTGTTGGAGCACGGTCACATATATTGGCGGCCCACCGTTGTCGTGTTCCTCGATATCAAAGGTGCATTCGATTCGGTGGGTAGACGCATTTTGGGACTGTCTACTCAGAAAAGGTGTACCTGAGAAATATGTGAATATTATCCGAGCATTATATGCACGTAGCTCGGGCAGAGTGAGAGCTTACGGCAAGCTGTCGTCGCCCTTTAATATCTCCAGCGGCGTGAGACAAGGATGCCCGCTGTCACCTTTCCTCTTCAACTTCTCTGTTGACGAAGTCATGGAAATCGCGTTCACAGGACACGACTTTGAAGGTGTGGATCTGCTCCCAGGAGAACGACTTCTTGACTTAGAGTATGCTGATGATATTGCCCTAATCTGTGACAGTTCACAAACGTGTCAAGCGGCACTGGACAGATTAGCACTAGCTATCCGTCACTTCGGGCTTTGCTTCGCACCCTCGAAGTGCAAAGCGTTCCTCCAAGATTGGTCTGGACCGCGTCCTACGCTGACCATCGGTGGGGATCAGCTAGAAGTCGTTCAAAAATTCAACTACCTGGGAAGTTGTATCAGCGCCCGTGGGATTGAGGATGAGATCACGAACTGTATAGCAAAAGCTCGGGACACTTTTGCTAACCTTCGCCACTTATGGCGCCGGCGCGACATCACTCTTGCCCTGAAGAGTAGAGTGTACAATGCAGCTGTATGTTCGACCCTACTGTACGGTTGTGAAACCTGGCCGCTTAAAGCAGCGGACCTCAAGAGGCTAGTTACGTTCGACCACCGGGGCCTTCGTAATTTAGCTCACATCTGGTGGGAACACCGCGTGGGCAACGAGCGTGTTCGACCCCTTGTTTACGGCACAGGAAAAGGAAATGAACCGCTCAGCACCGTCATTTCACGCACCAGGCTCCGATGGTTCGGCCACGTGTTACGCATGCCAGCCCACCGACTCTCGCGACGTGCGTTGTTTGCGCGCCGGGGGTGTGGATGGTAGAAGAGGAGGGGTGGCCAAGCAATGACTTGGTCGAGAGGAATGAAGGCCCTCACTTCGAATTTGGCCTTGGTTGGAGCTTCTCGGCTCCGTGGTTGGGGTCCGAGAGACGATGAACACCTATGGTTGGACACACTTGCTGATATAGCTAGGAGCCGACCTCAGTGGCGTTCGTGCTGTGAGTTTCTTTGTCCCACCCCATCCCTCTTAACCTCTCCCTCTAACCACGATCTCATTATTTGGCCTTATATAATTTTGCATAGTAATTTGTTTTGATGCACAGTAGCCGGCTGGTAGCTTACCGGAACGATGCCCATCCGTTACCGGTAGCTCAGCCGGCTTGCACCAGTTGCTTTTTTTCTCTCCTTTTTTGTGTATTGCGGCACAGTAGCTGAGGTGTTCCCCACCTCTAGCCAACATGTATGATGCTGGTGGTGATGTGACAGTTATGGAGGTATCAATCTGATGCCAATTACATCTATGGTACTTGGCTGTGTTGTCGGCCCTAGAGTAACTGGAATGCGTGAAAGCCAGTTGCGCAAGGAACAGGCCGGGTTTCCTGGAAATCGAGGCTACATTGACCACATCTTTATATTACATCAGTTGTTGAAGCACCCTGGCCGTTTTCCTAGGCTTCACAGGGGCTTTCGATTCGGTTGACCGATGTGCCGTTTAGGACTGTTTACTGAGGAACGGTGTGCTCGAGAAATTTGTAAATATCATAAAAGCGACTTACGGGTATAGTTCGGGCATAGTGAGGGTTTTTCGGCAAACTTTCGCCACCCTTCAGTTTCTCCAGCGGTGTGAAACAAAGTTTCCCGCCGTCATATTTCCTCGTTGACGAAATCATAGGAACGGCGTTCTCATGGCACGGCTTAGGTGTGAATCTGCTCCCAGATGACCGACTTTTTGACTGGAAGTATGCGGACGACATTGCGCTCATTTGTGACAGCTCCCAAACGTGCCAAGCTGGACTGAATAAATTAGCTCTGGCAACCGTTCCGGGCTATTCTTTGCACCCTTCTTCAAGATTGGCAGGGATCCACTCCTGCGCTGAACATTGGCGATAAACAGCTAGAGTCGTCCAGAAATTTAAGTATCTGGGCAGATATATTAGCACGCGTGGGATTAAAGATGAGGGCAGGAACCGTATAGCAAAAGCTCGAGGTGCTTTTGCCAATCTTCGCCATCTGTGGCATCGGCGTGACATCACTCTCGCTCTGAAGGGCAGAGTTTATAATGCAGCGGTCCGTTCAACCTTTTGTACGGTTGCGAAACCTGGTCCATTAGATCAATCGACATATAGAGGCTAATTACCTTCGATCGTCGCTATCTTCTAAGATTAGCACATGTCTAGTGGGAACACCGCGTGAGCAATGCGCGTGTTCGGCGTCGCGTGTTTGGTGCAGGAAGAGCGAGTGAATAGCTCAGCACCATTATATCACGCACCAGACTCCGATGGCTGGGCCATGTATTACGCATGCCAGCACACCGACTCCCGCAATGTGCGTTGTTTGAGCGCCTGGGGTATGGATGGAAGAAGAGGGTAAGCCAAGCGATGAATTAATCTAGAGGAATGCAACCCATTACTTCGAACTTGGCGTCGGTTCGTGTTTCCCGACTGCCGGGCTAGGGTCCGAACGACGATCACGTTTGGTTGCATACACTATCTGCCATGGCGAGTAGCCGACCTCGATGGCGCTTGTGTTGTGAGTCTTTTTGTCTTTTCCCTTCCCTTTAGCTTCCGTCTCCAACAACGACTTCAAGCCAATGCGTAATGTGATTTTAGCGTTGTTACATTTTTTCTAGCTTTTGTAGTCTGTCGGCCAGTGGCCGAGTGGTCTGCACGCCTGGCTTGCAATCATAATTCGCTTAGGGGTGAACGTTCTCGCGGTATACTCAGCCCGCGCGCGACTGGTGGTGGTCGCGCGGCAGCGAAGCGCCGCTACGGTGTAAAGTTGACATATTTATTATTATTATTATTATTATTATTATTATTATTATTCCTTGTAATCTGTAATGTTTAATCTCATCTTTTTGTGTTGCGGCACATTAGTTAGGGTGCGTTGCTCACCCTCGGCTAACGTGTATTGACGTTGATGATGATGGTGGTATTTGTTTTGTGTTGCAGCTCCCCAAGCCGGTTACGAACTACCTACGCATTGTACACGGAGACCATCGGAATTCTCGATCGGACGCATACTACACCCGTTATGTTCTCATCGTCCCGCCTTGGTCCGTTGCCTCCTATCTTTACTATAAACGCAGTAGATATCTCTGCATTTAAAAATACTTTACTGTATTTGCTGGCATTAGTACACATTTCCCTACCCGGTACTTGTGCTGCTTTTCAGTGCGAATAAAATATAGGGCACATTTGCTCCCAAAGAACTCTTGATGAGCTACTCAGTGAAGGTAATAAACTCTTAGCTGCCCGACAGTTCAATGATGCACTTGCTCTCTATATCGAAGCAGTTGGTTAGTTTACATATGTTACTATTATTTTTAGAACGTCACCCAAAAAGCCATTTATTGTATTACAGCCGTGGAGCAACCTACGTAGCTTTAGGGAAACCACGACTGGCTCTCACCGATTTCGATGAATCACTGAACCTTAAACCAGACTTCAGCCCAGTAAGCTGCTTTAATGCACCGACACATTTCAGGCCATAGAGCAACGCGGTAATCTGCACCTGAAAACTGGAAATTTGGATAAAGCCAAAGCCGATTTCTCTGCACTGGTACGTTCTTTTTGTCGCCGAATAAGGTTGTTCCAAGCATTCTGTAAAGAATTCGGTAGCCTCGGAGAAGCTTATGCAAATCTCTGCTCTAGAGAAAAAGTTTTCCGAAGCACAGTACCTGTACAAATCTGGGCATTATCGAGAGGTTTTACCTATCCTAAATTCATTGATTGACGTAATGTGGCTGAACTCAGAGCTCCTGGAAATGCGCGGAAATGCTTTGCTAGAAGTTGGCCAAGTGCAACAGGTACATTTCTTACATTACTTTACAAAATCATTACAGGGCTTTGATGATTTACGACGCGGCGTCCACTTAGTGAATGACAATCGGGCAGGACTGTTGAGACTAGCACAACTGTTGTACCGGTTTGGTCATGCCGTTGAATCCCGCAAAGAAATTTATGAATGTCTTAAATTAGACCCGGATGACAGTGGCTGTTTGAAACATTACAAGGTCGTGAACAAACTATCGAAATCGATAACTAATGCTCAAGAAGCGTTTCAGAATCAACTTTATGATAGTTGCATTTCACATGCGAAGGATATTCTCCGTCTGGAACCGTCAAATCAGGACTACCAAAGTCAGGCCAAAGTGCTCCTCTGCAGTTGCCTTGCCAGAGTGAGTTGCACCTATTATTTTCGGCTTCATGTTTGTATTAAAGTTTTTCTACAAAGTGTTCCTCCTCATTTTCCTTTTTAAAACTGTAACTTATGAGATTTACGGACTTCAGCACTAGATTGTGGACAACCTACAGTGGATATAGGCAAGTGTATAGTTTATCCTACCCTGTTCATCCTACTCTCGTAAAACATTTTCGTACTTTCCTAGCAATGCACCTCTGTTCTCCTTGTTATTCTACTCTGATGCGTATACTCGGCTACACCGTGGCTTGTCCGCTTGTTTCACGGCTGTGATAACAGTACGCTGGGATACACTACCGACGCTTCGCTGCAGCGCAACACCGGTCACACATGGTCCAAGGATACTGCGATGGTCACCCGGTCCCCTACGCGGACCGGCCCGTAGCCTTAACAATCACAATCCAGCCTTGTAATCCGAAGGCACAGGTCCGAGCCTGCGTAGGGACGGGGTGACCCTCGCAGTATCCTTAGCCCACGTGCGACTGGTGGGGCTTGCGCGGAAGCGAAGCGTCGGTACTGAGTACCAACCTACTGATGCCTTCCCCTACACAGTTCCGAACCCGCAACCTCAGGATTACAAAACATAAGTACATGGGCCGGCCGAAATAGCACGTTTAACCTAGGCTCTTGTTGGGGCTATGTAACAGACTCCTACTTCTGATTTCTTTTTCAGTCAGTCGGACATTGTTCACAGTTGAGTCTCAGAGTACCCGCTGTGTGTCTGATTTGCGATGCGCGGTCTCATTTGTAGTTACACTTTTCATTGCAGCAAATTGCGATTTCGGTCACTAGGCCCGCACCCGAAGTGAAGAGTTTCGGAGAGTCTCTCCCAACTGTAGTGTTATCTATTGCTTATTCATTCAATCTAGGGTTCCTGACTATGCTAAACACCTTCACAGTTTTTGCTCCAAATGACGCGACGCTACATCAGTCGCACCTTTCGCATCTTGTCTTTGATTTCGTTTTGATCATCTCACCATCAGTCATAGATGGCAACCTTCATTACAATAGCGCTCTTCTCAGTTGTGGTCACACCATCGTGTCCGCCTAGGATTCACTTCTCCACCCCCTGGCAAATGTTCAATTTCGAACATGCTTGCTGCTCAACTGCATTCGCGATCCGCAGAAGAGAAATATTCGTCTGAATTGCTACATCAATCATCACTGATAACGTGGTAGGCGAACAAAATACCGATTGGAATCACCTTCAATACGTGGTGCAAAAAGCCCTCGAAACTGCTTAACTACACAGTTCGAACATCTAAACTTTGTGTGTGAGTTTAATCTAAGCAAGGTGTCTGTACCACTACGAAACGTCGCTGACCAGGAGCTTGGGAATTGACCATGTACGTTTGACGATAGTAAAGACTCGTGGGATGCAGGCCAGTGCCATTCGAAATGAGCGGTCACTTCTCTAGCTTACAGGCCTAAGAAAGACTCCCGTGAGTGAAACGGTGACTGAAAAGGTACAGACAACTAATCAACTCTCATTTACTTTAACTGGACCGATGCACAGTTTAATGAGAATTTCAGTCGGCCAAATGCATCAGAATCGCTGTTTAGATCTAAACATTCCAGAAACCTTGATGCAACGAATTCAACCGTTGGTGACATCTAGTACGGACCATTGCTGCTTAACCAGAACAAAGCGCCTGGCTCAGACGACTCGTCATCGTTCTAAAAGACGGTAATGTCTCACTGTCATCTTTCTTGGCTTTTTTGTCTGACACCGGAGCAAAAGAGGAAGTTCCCTGCGACAGGCCTTTGCCAACGGTTATTTCGGTTTTTAAAACATGCCAAAGAGCATCCCGGTAGAAATCACCGTGATATCAGTCTGATCGCAACAGGCGCAAACTCATGGATACTCGTAAGAAACAACTCAGCAAGTCCAGTCAGCCTTCGTACCTGGCAGAGGGTTCATTGACCACTTTTTTACTCCTCGCTTGCGGCACAGCAGCTGAGGTGTTTTCCACCTCTAGCTAAAGTGTATAATGAATGGATGAATGCGTTTTTATTCTTCGACAGGTGATTGGAAGGTACCAATATTACAAACTTCTTATCACCATTCTACATTTTATGGTGAAAAGGGTCTTAACTGTCGCGTCTCAATACCCCTCGATTAGTTGCTATTAAAAACGAAGCATCAGCTAATCACAGGGAGGCAGTTGGATATGGCTCTTTTTCATACGGATCGCATTTCACCATGAGATTGCACGTTGCAATCCACACCTACACTGTATGATTCAAGATGATCCCTCCAATCAGTAACATTTTTTGTTTTTATCATACATCAGAGATGAGATCGTGGTTGAAGGGGTAGGCTTAACAGGAGGAGTGGGGGTAAAGACACAACACGAATGCCGCTGAGGTCGTTTCTTCCATCTCAACGCGTGTCCCACCAGTGTTCATCCTTTTCCGGATCCCAACCCGGCAGTCGGGAGACCAAGCTCGAAGTGAGCGCGTTCATTCGACTAAATCATCAGATAGCCTCTCTTCTTTTTCGATTCAAACTCCGGTGGCGTAAACAAAGAAGTTCGCAGGAATCCGTGTACTGGCACCTTCACAATTTGACTCATATCCGGTGAAGGGCATCAGCATTACACCGGTATGCCGTACCGTCACTTCGGTGTTACGTGTAGCCACCAGCAGCCCCACTCGCATTAGAGATATGGCGGGGTTGCTCGCACCTGTGCAGGCTCGAACCGATGAACTTCGGATTACACGGCTGATACCTTGCTCCTTTGGTTACTGCCTAGCATATCTGGTAGGAGTGCTGTATAAGCGATGGTTCTGTTCGCCGCCTCGTTCTGAAATGGGGAGAACAAATAGACCTTTCAGCATCGTTATTTCACACACCAGGCTCTGCTGACCGAGTCATGTGTTACATGTGCCAGCACACCTTATACCTATCGTGGTAGTCTTTCTTCACTTCCGTTGATCAAACCTTTTGTGGTGGGGTTTATCTTTGGAGAGTGTACTTGAAAAATTCTCCCATTCTCTAATGTCTATATAACGACTCATGGCTATGTAAAGGTCTGTCGAAAACTCTTGAGTTCACTACGACGAGTGGAATACTTATGGGTTGCCCCCTCCTGGGGTCGATATTCCCTTGGACGGCCGAATGTCTAATTTAGCATGCGCGGATGACGCAGTTATCTTTGGGTCGGCCCCGGCTACTGTGCAAGTGCTACTGGACAGGCTGCCGCGTAGCGCTGCATGCTTCAGTATATGCTATGCGCCTCTGAAGGGCAAAAGGCTGTTGTAGGACTTGATAGACTCACTACCGGTTCTAAATACCAATAAACACTCTTGAAGTCTGTTGTGCTCTCTTTGACGCACGGATACCCGATAAAGCTACTCAGATTACGACCCAGTCACTTCCCAAATCAAGAGACAACGGATTCATTTAAACCTTAAATTGAGCTTCGAGAAATACAGTCTCTCTGGTGGTCGGAATTTGTGTGCTTATATAGTTTAATAGAAACGATGTAGCGGAAGATTCTGAGCTACCCAAAAACACCATATGCAGAAAACCGCTCTTGATGTATTACTCCAAGCCGAAAGCATTGGCATCGGTAGACTCCAACGGGAAGAGCGCTCTCTTTGGTTGGCTCCTGGTGTATGAGTGTCGAGCTGGGTTAGCCAGGACTCCCTTAACTAAGTTATCGCTCGGATTACTGCAGCTGTATCAACTCTGGGGCCATCTTACCGAAACATCATTGTATTCATTGGTAACGTTCGTGCTGCTTTTTATAGCCTCGGTCACACGTGGGGACTGCCTGATGTGGACATATCGGGTAAGGAGAGCATTTCTAGCACTGGCACGACGGGCGTTACTAAGCGTGTTTCACCACAGGTTTTTGCTAAATATTTCTCGTTTCCGCGGGACCGACGAGTAATACTGTGGTTTGTCTTGTGATGCTTGGCAACAGCCCATCCAGTGCCGCATTGAATCATCATCAGCAGCAGCAGCAACAGTACATCAGTCATCAAACTGATGCTTCGCTGCCGTACAACCATAGTTGTCTACGGAACGTAGAATAATAACAAGGAGACATGGGGATCTAGCGTAAAGCCTTAATGCCCTTAACACATTCAGGGTCAAGGTGCCTACACCTTGTGTCAACAACTTATCGTCACAAACAACTGGCTATCGTGCAAAGATAAGGCCCATTTGAACATCTGTGAACTTAAATCTCCTCCGTAATCTCTGCTGTGAGTTCCACACACCCGACAGCCTTTTGCCTCGCTATGTATTGTTCACCAATACTTCGCCTAAATGGATGAAACCCCATGGTGGCAAATCAATGACAAAACAAGGAAAAACAAATAAACTGACCTAACGGCTGCCTCTAGTTGTTGCTTGCCCACTTTCTGAATTGGGTCCTATGGACTGGCCGCCTCAATAGTTTGCACGTTGTGAGGATAAAACGCCTTCACGAGGACAGTAGTGCTCTCGCATTCGTTCCCTCACTTCGAACGCTTGACTATTTCAGCTATCGATTAAATTCTTGTCAACCGGTATCTGGAAGGATTACACGCTTGTCTTGTACTCCCAACATCATCAGTTCAAGTCCTCGTTGGTGCGGGTGACATTGCGGTATATTCAGCTCACGCGCGACTCGTAGTAGTAGCATGGCAGCAAAGTGTCGGGAAGGCTTACCTGCGCTCTACCCATATCTGTTCTTCTTAGATTCCCATTGCGTTACTATTAATATTATTGCTATTTTAGCAATGCAACGAGACTGGACCCGTCGCAGCGAGACTGGATCTTAACGTGGTGCGACGGTTTGTGTACCTCTTTGACACATTAAGCTTTACTGGGTGGTGCCTCCGGGCATCATCATCATCAACAGCAGTACATCAGCCATTTGAACTGATGCTTCGCTGCCATACAACCATGAGGAACTATGAAATAAAGAATAAGAAGAGGGAGAGAAGGGGGATTTACCTGAAAACCTTAATGCCTTAAGCAAA